GTTAAAAAAAAAGCTTAAAAAAGGGGAAAATGCGTATTACCTCTACACTTTGTACAGGCTAGCGAAAAAATGATACCACGCTAAGGTTTCAAATATGCCTTTTGAAACACCCTGGGGTGTCTTCTTTAGGAAATGGTATGTATATGATGTATTATACTGCTGTAGCACATATAAGGTTTGCAAAATATATATTACAAACTCATTGAGTATGTCAAAAAGGCATAAAAAATGCTTATTACCACTACACTTGGTACAAGCTAGCAGGAAAATTATTTCACGCTATGGTTCAAAATACGTCTTTTGAAATACCCTTGGGCGTCTTCTTTAAGAAATAGTATGCCTTTTTGGGGTAGTTGGAAAAAACAGCCTGCTAACATATTTAAAAATAGAATACGGACCCATTAAAACTCTCCATGTAAATTCACACTTAAAAACCTGAACTTGTCACGTCTCTTTCACAGCACTGTAACTTCACAAAATAGTGTCTAGGTCATACATTGGGCTTATTGTTTTACTCAGAAGAGGTAACTGAGCATACTTAGGGGGAATTTATGACAGTGGCACGTATCAAATGTAAGAAATACCCAGCGAAAATGCAACATGTATGTAAAAAAAATTATTTTTTTCTCACCACAAAATTTTAAATAAATTGGTGAAAAAATGGTGGCAAGTTAAGGTATAATAAATGCCTTATAACATACCCTGGAGTGTCTTCTTTCTCAAATGGAAGGCCTTTGTGGTGTTATTTGAACAGTCAAATGGCTATAATGCCACAAAATCAGACATATGATCATCTATGAAAATTCCAACTAGAGAAACTGAAATAGCATGGTCTCCTATATGGCATTGTAGCTTCACAGATTGGGGAAAATGTATACAATGGTGGTATTGTTTTACTCAGCAGATGTAGCTGAACACAATATGAGGTTCTGTACAGGGATAGCACACACTAGGTTTACGAAATACACATTACAAAAACCTTGTAATATGTGTATATGCCAAAACAGAGAAAAAAAAAAAAATTTTACTCCAATATTTAGCAGAGATTGGCGGTAAATGGCTACGCAAAAAGTGTCAAACTAACCTTAGGTAAATAGCCTGCGATGTCTACTTTATATAAATATATATTTTAGTGTGGCAATTTTGTTTCCTGTAATGGGTATTAAACTTCCAAGACAAACATACCAACTTCTAAAATTGTTTCACATTGAAATCTTATTTTAGACCTTGTAGTTTGTGACCTGTAACTTTCAAAATAAACTGAAATCCTACACATATTATGCACTTTGTAAATCAAGACACATAAATGAATTGCTTTTGAATTACTTTTCCTAATCTGGACATATTATGCACACATTATTATTGCCAAAACTTGGAGGGGAAAAGCATTTTTTTCTTTTTTTTTTCCACATTATTTTGTATTTTTTGGTAATAAATGACAATTTATATGTCACATCAAATTAAAGCCCTTTTGTTGTCTAAAAAACGCTATATAATATGTGTTGGTATAATAAATGAGAGAGATGCAAATTGCATTTGAACACAAACAGCAAAAAATGCAAAAATTGCTTGTGTCCTTAAGTGTGTGTGCAGCTTCTGAAGCTGTGTCCTTAAGGGGTTAAATAATTATTATTTATCTGTAACCAAGCGGTGGGATTGTCCCTCACCTGGAAATCAGAAATACCAATGATCTCCCAGTCAATTAAATGCTTTTGTGGTGCTGAAGTTTGTTAAGGGTTTGGATTATTCCTGTAATAACAGGTTATTAACCCCTTAAGGACACAGCTTCAGAAGCTGGACATACCCTTAAGGACACAAGCAATTTTTGCATTTTTTGCACTTTTAATTGTTTTTTTTTTTTTACTTTTAACCCCTAACTAGTCTAACCGTAAATCCCCCAATTTCCCCACTAACTTCTACCCACCCTAGATAAATAAATAAATATTTTAAAATATTTAAATTAATTAATTAGAACCCCTGAGGATTAAAAAAAAAATAAAAGTTAACCCTCAGGGATAAAAAAAAAAAAAAAATCAGATCACAGTGATACAGGGAAACAGATCAGATTTTACTGCAGCAAGTGTGATCGCTCTGACTCCCGGTCAGAGCGATCACATGGGCTGAATCAGTGAAACTGACCATGGTAGTGTGCCTCCAATATGGAGACACACTACAGGAAGATTAACCCCATGACTGCCGCGATTGTGGCAATCAGGGGTTAATTTTCATTTTGGACGGAAATTTTCCGTCCAGCGTCCTTAAGGGGAGTGCTACAATGACGGAAAATTTCCAACCAGCGTCCTTAAGGGGTTAAACTATAAAATGTGAAACAAGTATGAGGGATCTAAATATTTATGCAAGACACAGAAGACAAGCAAAAGACAAAAACAATAGGTAAATCTATTTATTTATTTTTCTTTTTCTCAAAGTCAAGCGCAAGTACATAATGTGACTCACCATTTGAAAATCTACCAGTGCAATTACAATAAAAATGGAAAGGTGTGGTTTTCAAAGCACTAAATGTAGCTGACATTTTAGCCACAGCACATAATATTCAACCAGTTTAAATCCCATGAGGCAAATGCAATAGTTTACTATTTTAAGTAATTTAATTTAATCCTAATAATTTACAATCATTTCTTACTCTGTAAGACAGTTTATAGTGATGTAGTGAGTTCTCTATGATGCAAGACCAGTTTTCCTTTTTAAAAGGGCTAGTTTAACTTTTTACAGCCTCTCATTTCAGCTTTGTTTAGGAAGGACAAACTATACTGCTTTTGTATTGATGAAAAATAGTGCAGGATGTACCACAGAGTCTGAAATTATTCCAGCTTTGTTGTATGGCAGTCAACATACATTTTTCAGTTTTGTGAAATTCTCTTTGCAGAAATTGGACCCTTGAGTCTCTTTTTAGTAAAACAAAAACAAAACATGTGGTCATGTATTCTCTTGCATCACATAATTCTTCAGGACTTGATCAGTTAATTACAATGTATTATAACATATATAATCTTACACTTTATACTTTAATCACTTTGTGTCTTGATTAACCAAGGTATTTAATTATGGAATTTAAAGGAAGCTTCCTAGCAAAAATAGATGGGTATTATGTAGTTAAGTTGTGTAACTGTAACTCCTCTTATTTACTATGTATTATTCAAATATAAAACATGGATAGTTTATGTATTGTGCAAATGCTATCTCGATCACAAATGTACCGGACAAAGCTGCTTATTATTAACCTTATTTGTCTCATCGGCCATTAGCAAAGTATCCCTATCACAAGCATGTATAATGATTATGTTTTCAACTGCTGTGATAACCACAAGGCCTTTTACACATGATATATAATTGGAGCGTTTATTAAGATAATGAATTGTTCTGAAGACATATTCACATAAACCACGAGAAATCACAAGAATCCCAAAATGTCATAATAGTCCTCCAAAACACAATTTGACATTGTGTATCTTTTATTATACATAATATTTTTAAATTAGTGTTATTCTTAGTCAGAAAGTGAAGGGATCAATGGTTAATTTTAGTATAATATATAGGTGAATTTTTAGTGGAGTTACGTTTGTGATACAAGTGGTAGACGTGGACCACTAAAAACATGCACATGCAGTTTTCTTACCCTTATTGCATGGCTATAATAGAAATATGTATCAAACACATGAAAAAAAAAATATGAAGAAAAAAATATACATATGTTGAACAAAATTATAAATGCAACACTTTTGTTTTTGCCCCCATTTTTCATGAGCTGAACTCAAAGATATAAGACTTTTTCTATGTACACAAAAGGTCTATTTCTCTCTAATATTGTTCACAAATCTGTCTAAATCTGTGTTAGTGAGCAATTCTCCTTTGCTTAGATAGTCCATCCACCTCCCACGTGTGGCATATCAAAATGCTGATTAGACAGCATGATTATTGCAAAGATGTGCTTTAGGCTGGCCACAATAAAAGGCCACTCTAAAACATGCAGTTTTATCACACAGCAGGAATGTCTACCAGAGCTGTTGCCCATGAATTGAATGTTTATTTCTCTACCATAAGCCGTCTCCAAAGGTGTTTCAGATAATTTGGCAGTACATCCAACTGGCCTCAGAACCGCAGACCACGTGTAACTACACCAGCCCAGGACCTCCACATCCAGCATCTTCACGTCCAAGATCGTTTGAGACCAGCCACCCGGACAGCTGCTGCAACAATCTGTTTGCATAACTAAAGAATTTCTGCACAAACTGTCAGAAACCGTCTCAGGGAAGCTCATCTGCATGCTCGCCATCCTCATCTGGGTCTTGACCTGATTGCAGTTCATCGTAACCAACTTGAGTGGGCAAATACTCACGTTCGATAACATCTGGCACTTTGAAGTGGTGTTCTCTTCACGGATGAATCCCGGTTTTCACTGTACAGGGCAGATGGCAGGCATCTTGTATGCAGGGCCGTCTTTAGCGCGGGGCAAACGGGGCAGCTGCCCCGGGCCCAGTTGCTCCTGGGGGGCCCCAGAGCAGCTGCCTCGTGGGTCCTGCTATTTCAGCAGCCCCCATGCACCAGGCGGTGCGGCTGCACAGAGCTGCACCGGCCTGCCAACTAAGGAGACCCCCTGGGTGGCCCATGCACTAAGGGCCACCCGGTGACCATGTGTCAGCAGGGGCATGCTGTACTGGCTGGGAGGAAGTTAGTGCCCCGCGTCACTTCCTCCCACCGGAGATAATAGCCATGCGGGAGGAGGAAGGCAGGGAGCCTGCCACTGGACCCCAGGGAAACCACCCTTCATAAAAAGGTAAGAACCTGGAGGGTGGCTAAATGTATGTCAGTGTGTCTGTGTGTGTGTGTGTGTGTGTCACTATGTTTGTGTGTGTCAGTATGTCTCTGTGTGTGTCAGTATGGGTGTGTGTCAGTATGTCTGTGTGTGTATGTTAGTATGTCTGTGTGTATGTGTGTGTGTCAGTATGTCTGTGTGTATGTATGTGTGTGTGTCAGTATGTCTGTGTGTGTATGTCTGTGTGTGTGTGTGTATGTCAGTATGACAGACATACTGACATACACACACTGACACACACACACTCACTGTGTGTGTTTCAGTATTCCTGTCAGTGTCTGTGTGTGTGTCAGTATATCTTTCAGTGTATGTGTCTGTGTGTGTGGGTATGTATGTATGTATGTGTGTCTGTGTGTGTATCAGTATGTCTGAATGTGTGTCAATATGTTTGACAGTATATATTCGTGTGTCAGTGTATGTGTGTCAGTATGTATCTGCGAATGTTTTAATATGTCTGTCTGTGTGTATGTGTCAGTATGTCTGTCAGTGTGATTGAGGGTTGAGCGTAATGGGGGGGGGGGCGCAGGGACAAGGCCCATGGGACCCAAGAAAATGCTTTGCCCAGGGTCCTATTCATATTATAGATGGCCCTGCTTGTATGGCGTTGTATGGGTGAGTGGTTTGCTGATGTCTACGTTGGCGATCGAGTGGCCCATGGTGGCGGTGGGGACATGGTATGGGCAAGCGTATGTTATGGACAACAAACACAGGTGCATTTTATTGATGGATTTTTAATGCACAGAGATACCATGATGAGATCATGAGACCCATTGTTGTGCCATTCATCCACGACCATCACCTCATGTTGCAGCATGATAATGCACGGCCCCATGTTGCAAGGATCTGTACACAATTCCTGGAAGCTGAAAACATCCCAGTTCTTGCATGGCCAGCATACTCTGGATCGGCGTATAAGACAGAGTGTTCCAGGTCCTGCCAATATCCAACAACTTTGCATAGCCATTGAAGAGGAGTTGACCAACATTCCACAGGCCAAAATCAACAACCTGATCAACTCTATGCAAAGGAGATGTGTTGCACTGCGTGAGGCAAATGGTGGTCACACCACATACTGACTCGTTTTTGGATCCCCCCCCCAACCCTTCCCAAAACAGTAAAACTGGACATTTTAGTGGCCTATTATTGTGGCCAATCTAAGGCACACCTGTGCAATAATCATGCTGTTACTCAGCATCTTGATATGCCACACCTGTGAGGTGAATGGGTTATCTTGGCAAAGGAAAAATGCTCACTAACACAGATTAAGACTGATCTTTGAACAATATTTGAGAGAAATAGGCCTTAGGCCTTTTGTGTACATATAAAAAATATTAGATCTTTGAGTTCAGCTCATGAAAAACGGGGGCAAAAACAAGTGTTGCATTTATAATTCTGTTCAGAGTGTGTGTGTGTGTATACATATATATATATATATAATACAATGCTAAACAAAAATCTGCACACCAGTCAAGCCATAAGACTTGCTTTTCCCACAGAAATCCCAAATCAGCAGTGATGTTACAACCGCAAAGGATTCTGGGTGGGCATATGCAAATTAGTTTAACAAAGAATCACATTTTTGCCTCATTCCATTTTAAACATGGATTCCTTTTAATTTGTGTTTGCAGTATACAACTGCTTGGAACACAATTTAGGATAAGATGCAAGACCAGTGAACCACTCATGGACAGCTGTTTCGTTGTTAATGCAACTCTTCAGCATGAGGTTGTGATTCTTTGTTAAACTAATTTGCATATGCCCACCCAGAATCCTTTGCGGTTGTAACATCACTGCTGATTTGGGATTTCTGTGGGAAAAGCAAGTCTTATGGCTTGACTGGTGTGTAGATTTTTGTTTAGCATTGTATTAACTATCCACATACTTCAGGTGGAAGGGGTTTTCAATCACTATTTTTCCCCACCATAATCTATTTGGATCTTGCGCTATATATATATATATATATATATATATATATATTTATGGGAGAGATGTAAAAAATTTATACAATTTGTATCTTGTAATACCTTTTTTATTGGACTAACAGAATTTTTTAATGAGAAGCTCTTTTGGGAGAACCGCCCTTTCTCAAGTCTTAAGCAAGATGACACTACAATTTAGACTTGAGAAAGGGAGGTTCTATAATATACATGTGATCTAAAAACAAATGGTGACTGAATCCACTCACTTGGAACTTGCACTTCTATGCTTTTAAGGTAGCATACCAACTCCCATCAGATAGCGTTCCAAATTCAAGAGACATAGAATGAAAAGAAAACAACAATAGTGTATTATGTTTAACTCTTATATTAGATATTACCTGAGCACCCCTTATTTAGAGCCCACAAATCCTGACTCTAAGGTTTAAACACATATTGCCAATTTGGAGGCTGACAAGGACCCAAAGAGAATCAACTCTGCAAATGGAAACCACACTGGACTATAAATAGTGCTAAGTAGATTAAAATATATTAACCAATGAAATAAAATAAAGTATATTAAAACAGCTATATAGCAGGAATTAAAATAAAACAAATATAGCACTACAACAACAAAAAATGCCATGTAGTGGGCGCCAAAACACATTTCGCTCAGTTAAGCTTCCTCAGTCGCTGTATTGAAGTTCCAGAAGTTATCCATATGTAAATGCTGATGCCGGGCTTCCTTTCCGGTCATGTGATGCCATTTCAGCCACTCGTATCCCTCCTTTGAATCTCCCATCCACTTCCCTGGTGCTGCAATTTCCTTTGCAATATATATACCCAAAACACTGTAAGACATACCAAACTAAAACAGATTAAAAATAAGTAGCACAAATCACATTTTAAAGGAACAACACTTGTAAAAAGTGGTATGAATCAAAATCTACATTTAAGCCATTAGGTTGCAGGGTACCTAAATTAAAAATCCACTCCATTTCTGACCTGTCAAGACTCCTCATTATGTCACCTCCTCACCGATTACCTAACACCATATGAATTGTAACCCTTTTGAGTCTCTATTGTTTACATTTTTAAAATGATATGAAACACTGTGGCCTTCAAATTTCATTTTAATGTTCTTAACATGTTCTTCTATACGTAGATGTAAGCAAGGCTTTGTACATCCCACATATTTTAAGCCGCATGAACATATTAATAAATAAATTACATTTGAGGAGTGACATAATTATTTTTTTATATATTAAATAGCTTTTATTGTCTTGTGCCTCACTAAACGTTGTGATGTGTCTTTTTCTACTCTGCATACTTTTACAGGCCAGTCATAACCCACATCAAAAAAAAAAAATTCAAGAAGCACCAGATCTTGCCTTAAGATATGCCATTGCCTTTTCATAATCATTCTTAGTTCCTTGCAGGGCCAGCCTGTCCATTGGTTGGTCCATAGGATTATCCAGCACGCAGAACTGTGTCACACCTAGGACTAAAGATAACGTATAACCAGACCTAAGAATGGCCGGACTTGACGTATCCAAGAATAGTCAAAATACTTGCCGAGGTCAGGAACACAGAATCAGACACAACGATGAGGAAAAGCTAAAAGTCAAGGATACCAAAATTCAGGGAAGTCAAAATTAAGCCAGATTCAAATACCAGAAAATCAAGATCAGGAACGCACTCTTGGCTTGCCATCAGGATAAAACCACGACAGGGCAATGAGCAAAAGGAGAATTGGGTTTAAATACCCCTCTTGTGGATCTGATAGGCCATGACTGGCCTTTGACCCCAAAAGCAATTACTAGGGTTCAATGTGCGTGATTGCTGCCCAGTACACACTCCCCTGTGGATTTGATTTGCCATGACCAGCCTTTGACCCCAAAAGCAATTACCAGGTTTCCATGTGCGTGATTGCTGCTCAGCACAAACCCTCCTGTGGATCTGATTGGACATGGGCCTTTGACCCCAAAAGTAATTACCAGGTTTCCATGTGCATGATTGCTGCTCAGCACAACTTTTCCTGTCAGGACGGTAAATGCCATTAACCACATTTTTATGTGTGGATGAATATGTGACATTACCCAACACCTGAAGACCGCCCACCCAGCAGGCAGGTCCAGGTTTGAGAGGAAACTTGGTGTGAAAAGAACAAATTTTACGGCCAGCATGGATATCAGAAGCCGAAACCCATAAACGGTCAGCAGGCACATACCCCCTCCAATCAACGAAATACTGTAAGGAACCACAAGAAAACCTGGAATGAATCCAGAAACAACCAAAGGAGGAGGGGAACAACCGGACTTGTGTACCTATTGCAAACAAGCGCTTTGAGCAAGGACACATGAAAAGTATTAGGTATACGTAAGGACGCTGGAAGGGCCAGAGAATAAGAAACAGGGTTGATTCTCTAATTCTACCACCAGACATTGTCAAACATTTAGGTAGTCATTTTTTGTGTGTTTTTTTCCACACACATTGTACTTTAGGCATGAATTAACAAATCGTGTTATGTGTCACTGCCAAACAACACACCAATATGTGTTCAGCAACATCTCCTGAGTACAGTGATACCACCCATGCATAGGCTTGTCGGATTGTTTGGGGGCTAAAAGGCCACATTTGGCAGGTGCGCATATCCATTTTTCAACTTGGAATTTTGACATGTAGTCAACCTGCGCACATGTCCTATTTGGGACATTTGTAAGGCCGGCCAATGTATTTTACCCCCACCAAACCATATATTTTTGGAAAGTAGACACCCTAGGGTATTTCAAATGGTGGTTTTTTAACACTTTCCATGCACTAATTCTACCACCAGACATTGTCAAACATTTAGGTAGTCATTTTTTGTGTGTTTTTTTTCACACACATTGTACTTTAGGCATGAATTAACAAATCGTGTTATGTGTCACTGCCAAACAACACGCCAATATGTGTTCAGCAACATCTCCTGAGTACAGTGATACCACCCATGCATAGGCTTGTCGTATTGTTTGGGGGCTAAAAGGCCTCATTTGGCAGGTGCGCATATCCATTTTTCAACTTGGAATTTTGACATGTAGTAAACCAGCGCCCCTGTCCTATTTGGGCCAATGTATTTTACCCCCATCAAACCATATATTTTTTAAAAGTAGACAACTCAGGGTATTTTAAATGGTGGTAGTTTAATACTTTTCATGCAATAATTCTACCACCAGCCTTTGGCAAACTTTTGGGTAGTAATTTTCTTCATGTTTTTTTACACATACATTGTACTTTAGGCATGAATTAGCAGATCCTGTTATGTATCACTGCCAAACAACACCCCAATATG